ATGTTAAAAACAAGAGCAACGTCATGTTCTGATATAACAGGTTGAAACCCAAAAGTGTGAACAGAGCTAAATAAGTTTGGGCCTCCTGTAGCTCAGTTGGTAGAGCATGGCGCTTGCAACACCAGGGTTGTGGGTTTGATTCCCATGGGGGGCCAGTATGAAAAATGTATGCACTAACTATAAGTTGCTCTGGATAAGAGCATCTGCTAAATGACAAAAAAAGTTTCAAGCCATAGAAGATAATTGTGCAACAGGCTTGGTCTCACCTCGAGGTGAATGGAGTCTATTAAACGTTTTTTGTCCCTTTGCTGCATAATGCTGAATGATGATAACAACACTAATGACTGTACGAGTCATCGGAGTTTGAATTATATACTGTGCAACCATTATGAAAAAACTGGCAAAATCAGTTGAGTCAGAGGACTTTGTGACAAACATTCAAGACTCTCAGCTCAAAGCCCCTCTAAACCAAATGGATGATGAGAACTTGTTTCCACTTCTCAAGTGTACATTTCCTATAGTCTCGCAATGCCATCCTCCCAAGTTTCTGAGTTATGAGGAAGCCTGGAAATAGAGGCTAGATTTCTTATAATTACGATCCCTGAACCACTTTAATAAGGACAACAAAAGTGTCTGTGACAGCTTTACACATTTCCAGAAAGAACTACAATATTTAATGAACATACAGCATCTTGAAAACAAAAACAATAGTACACCGTCATACTGTACAGTATTCAAAGAAAGCTCAACTTCCAACATGAACATCCCCCTGCCATAGGCAGGGCCGGCTCTAGCCTTTTGGGGCCCTAAGCGAGATTTGATTGGGGGACCCCCACCTAGTGGCAAAACATTTTAGTGGCCCCGTCTTAACGATGGAGAATTTCCTGCAATTCTATACATTTTTCCATGGGGTGCAGATTTTTTTATTATTTTTTTAAAGGCCCAGTGCAGTCAAAAACGTGAAGTTCAGTGCATTCAAAAAATCCTCTCTGCGCGCAGCTTTGAGCAACGATTTTGAAGGAAAACATACAGAAAGTTCAACCATAAGCACGTTCCCAGGCGTTTCTTTAGATAACAGTTATTTTAGTTATGCTAACGTTAGCTAGCTAGCTGAATGGCTGAATGCCCATGACTGAATACCTCGATATAACTAACTTCCCACAATGATTTTAATCAGAATAGGTCATCTATTCCATTTAGCTACTGTTTTTGTTGTATTGTAGTTCTCAGGTCTAAATATTTAAGTAAATAATCCCAATTCTAGTTGTAGCAGCTTGTGACTAGTTCATGTTGAAGTAGCCTAGGCTAGATCTAAAAGATGTATTAGCCTACATGAACTCAGACCTGGCTGACCTGTTGTCATTGTCTTCGGTGGAATTTATAACATTGTTGGACAGGTTTAAATGCTCTTTGTATCCATAGAGCAAGTAATTGTTTTCTGTAGCCAACCCTCCAATCAGAAATTGGGAGAACACTCATTTAGAATGCCTGGCTGAAGCTTTAACAGTACTTGAGTGTTTCCACACTATGAGGTTGGGATAATACTGTGAAATTGTGAACATGATGATAATTCCCTTTTAGTGTATAAGCTGTTTGAATAGACTGTCTGACATTTCAGCCTGTTTTCGTGGAATGGTGTTTTGGCCTTCCATGGTGACATCACCATGCTGTAAATTAGTTTGTATTTATTTTTTTATTTTACCTTTATTTAACTAGGCAAGTCAGTTAAGAACAAATTCTTATTTACAATGACGGCCTACACTGGCCAAACCCGGACGACGCTGGGCCAATTGTGCGCCGCCCTATGGGACTCCCAATCATGGCCGGTTGTGATACAGCCTGGAACCACTTTGTGTTCCAAAGTGGTTAATAGACCGACCAACAAGAAAGAGAGTTCCAAACCTTTTTGCCAATAACAGCTACTTTTCAGTTTTCCCCTCCCCACTCAGACCACTCCCAGACAGTCCTAGCAAAATTGTTGTCTGAGAAATTGCTCTTAGCTAAGTAATTTTTTTTAACCATTTTTATTTAAAACAATCACAGAAGTTATTTGAAATTGAGATAGAATTGGCTGCATTGGACCTTTAAAGCAAGATTTTCTGCAATCCTACATATTTTGCTATGGGTTGGAGAGAAAACATTTCAGTTTTACAGCTAATTTCCTGCAATTCTACCCATTTTGTCATGGGGTGGAGATAAATGTTTGCCGTTTTAAAGCAAATTTCCGCAATTCTACAAATTTTGCAATGACTTATTCCATGTTAATATGATTTCAGAGTGAGAATGACTAACAAAATCAAATGGGGGCCCCCTGGAGGTCAGGGCCCCTGGGCATGTGCCATGCGTGCCCGGTCGGTATGCGGCCATGATTACTACAAGTTTAGATAGATGGCCAGAATAACTACCACTCTGAAAATGGTTAACTGACATGGCTAATTGAATGACTATCAGTGACTGACATAAGAGAAAAACTGCTAATGCACAACCAAATTCCGAAATTGCACCTGGCGTACTCTACTATTCTTACTCTCAATAGTAAGTTGAGACCCTGATTGGCTTATGTCGCGTATGCCTGTAACTGGCCCATGCCATAGGGACATAAGATCTCCGCTTTTACTTTACAAATCCTTAAATGCTTGAAACTATTCACTTACTCTCTATCGCCACCCACAAGACTTGCTTGGCCCGAATGTCATACAAAAACATGGTCAGCTCAGTGATCCACATGTTCAGTTGGGACCTTCATATTCCCTACTGGCAGAAAATGAGGGTAAATTAGCTAAACTGAAATGCTTTAAAAATACAGGCTTTGACTACTTGCATGCATTAACGGTTAGCAGAAAATGATGAGGCTACAGGCGAGGTACTTAAAAGTTAAGGCTAATATTTTATTTGTTTGTGGTGGCTACCATGAGGTAGAGGTGAATGGCTAATGCTAGTTCCAGTAACTGCCATGCCCCCTCTTTGAATGCTACATGGAGACCAATATGGAAGAGCAAAATTAAAATCAGGGATTTCTGAGAAGAGTATCTCAGTATTCTGTATGTAGCCTGTTCCCAGATTTGTTTGTGCTTTTTTCCTAATCCATTGTAATTGTTAAGACAGTTTTGCCTGACAATTCCATAAGGAGTTGGCAAGAGAGCAGAAACAGACTGACACCCAGGCTTTTCTGTTTGTGTTCCAAAGTGGCTTATTGATGGCAGAATGACAATGACTGATATCTTGAGTTTAAATGGGTTCCAGAGTGAGAAATGGTGTAGCTACAGTACACGCCTCCTCACCACAAGTTCTGATGGAACAACTTAAGGGAAAATGATGGTGATGAAATAATGTATGGCTTCCCTGATAGATAAAATAAAATCCTAAAATGAAATCTGATGTAAGTCAACCACCCTTTTGTGAAATTCTACATTGTGATGTGATAATGGCACATGGAATCTGGTATAACATACTGGACCACTTGATATGACCACACTATTAGCAAGACCTAGTAAGATTGGAAATGTACAAACTTGCATAGATACAGTGATGTGTAGAGCAGTTTTCGGACGTGTCCAAAACAGTCTAGTGAAGTTCTTGACATTTTTATATCCCTGCAAAGGTTGCAGTAGCTGCATGTAGTGAGAGCTCTCGACTTGCTCCCAACGAAAACATTGACAACAATACCACTAACATTATGCAAGTTTGCCACTGGTTCACACAATAAAAAAACATTGTATAGGATTATTATTCATTACAGTAGTTGGATATATGACCAACATCAATGTGATATAGATAATATGAAAGGACATCTTTGTATCAGAGACATAAATTAATTTCCTATGTTCTACCTGACAATAGACAGATTTTAATGACTGACTGTGATGCATTAAACAAATGCATTATTTAAGTGTGCTTTCACAAGGACGGAATTGGACAATGGACATATTTTTGAATGAACGGCATGACATCTATATTATTCCATTCGACAACACAAGTCAGAACCAGTTCCAAATGGTTTGCTCACGTCTGTGTGGATGGGGACACTAATGTTCAGGGCCCATATTCACAGTGTCTTAAAGTAGGAGTGCTGATCTAGGATCAGTTTTGTCTTGCCTAGATCAGCACTCCTACTCTGAGACACTTCGTGAATACAGGGCCAGGAGTCCTCTTTTTGGGCCGTGAGAGGGAGTTTGGGACACCCTCTCAAATAGACACATATAGGAGTTAAAATCCATTTTGTAAAAATAATAACTTCTTGCTGATAGTGGGAACAGAGCAAAAGATTACAAAAACACTGACATCACCAAGAGAACGTGCTGTACACGGGAGTGAGAGACAGAAAACCTCCCACCTCCCGCCCCGGTTCCTAAAGCGACAAACGGAGTGTCTTTAATGTGCAAACAGAGTAAACACAAAACGTTTGTCAACATGTAACTCCAGTGCTATTTCCTGTATGTTGAGAGCTAAAAAGAGAGAGTAGAGGGGGGAAAGCTTTGTGTTCAACAAACCCAAAAAAAACAGACACTCGTCTGGAACTAGTTAAGGTGAAAGGTCCTCCGATATTAGCGGCTCCTGCATGAAAATGTCCCCGACGAGAGGATCCAGACATCATCATGTCTTTATCAGTCTTCTCTTCATAAAACGTCCTCCTCTTCTTCTGTTCTGTACCACACCACTGTCTGTAGCTCGCCTCAACGCCTCAGAGTGGCCCTGCTACAGTACACATGCCCACAAACCACAGAGAGGGGCATCGTTGTCCTCCTCAAAGTCTGACCTCCGTGACCCCATCTTCCACCAGGCCAGGGGGCACAGGGTCAACTCAACTCCTCCTCTCCCACCGTGTGGAGCGAGATGGATCGGGACGCGGCTGGGCCGAGACAACGCAGCTAGGCCCCAGCCCCGTTAAATGAAGCATCGCTAGAAGCTTGGAGGGAGGAAACAGAAGAAAGGGACAAAAAAGAAAGATGACCCATGGTGGGCGACTCCTCGCCCACCTGCTTGGAAGAGTGAGACGGGGTTTAGGTGGGCAGGGGGTCGTCGTCCCCTTTGCTGCACTTGCACTTACAGCAGAGGACAAAGGGCGTGGCCAGGAGGAGAAAGGGGGAGGCCACCAGCAGGAGAAGGCCGAAGCCAGCGAAGATCCCCACCACCTTGGGAAAGAGAGAGAGGATAGAGTAAGAGACTGCAACAAGACAACAGAGGCAACAGCAAATACGACAGTGTTCGTTCAGCTACATTGCAAAAATATCAATGAGGAAGAACACGTATGGCACTATATAGAAAGTACTTTGAAAAGAGGACTAGCATATGAGAGATCCCTTAACAAGATAATACACACCAAATCAGTTTTCCTTCTCAAAACTTGTTCTCTTGTTTGGCTTGATCATAATCCGTGCGAGTTATTTTCTATCTTTGTAGTGCAAGTCACCCATCTCACCACATGGGGGCATCATATACGAGCAGAAACATCTTCTCAGCTACAAAATGGCATTCGAAAGTAGCAATTACACACAATACTGCCTTCTTAGAATAACTTAATGGCCTTCTGCCCGTGTCAGAGCAGGAGGAGAGTCATTTTGGGGATCACCCTGGGGCAGGCCAAATACTTTTTAATAAAATAGCTCCATGCATAGATACATACTGTTGTTGGGATCCATTCTCTGGTATTTCTGTTTACTTCCCTCTTTTTGGAGGTCTTAGTAATCACATTATTTACCCAGACGAGCACCCCATGAACCTTTAGTTGCACCGGTATACCTATATTAACATGATATCCTATTTGCTCAGATCAACAAACCCTGACAAAGCTACCATATATAATAGACAATGTCTGGTCTGAGAACAGTAAGCATAGAGAGAGGTGACCTTCATTCCTCCTATGGCATCCCTAGTGGATACAACCCCCTCAGCTCCAATCTCAAAACTGATTTGAAATCAGATACAGAGGCAAAAACAGAACACACAGAGGCTGAGCTTTCATAAAGGCAGAATTTGCCCTAATATATTTGGGCCTTTATTCATAAAATGTCTGAGTAGGAGTGCCGATCTAGGATCTGTTTTTTCCATAATTAATAAGATTACATGGACAGGGAGGACCTGATCCTAGATCAGCACTCCTTTTGCGTATAAGGGCCCTGGGTCCTTTATGTATGTGTTATGCATTCATGAGGAGCTAAAGAGAGAGACCTGGCTTTTTAAGGTCTTGGGGAGCAGTGAGGTTGCATGGGCTGGATACAGGAGGTGCAGTACCACAAGCTGTAATCATGTTCAGATGACTCAGCCTGTCCCACTGGGCAACAGATGTCAGTGTGTACGCTAGCGTTCACAACACTGTTAAACACGGGAAATGTGCTTGTCTATGAATAGATATGTGCTGGAAGATAGCTAGAGCTGAACAATGACTGGGTGATGACTGGGTGAACCAGAAAATATAGCATCTAATCAATATTTTCATTCATTATTAGAATCAGAATTCTAAAAGATGAATTGACTCTTTATTTCGCAATGTACAGTGGGGAAAAAGATGAGAGAGGCCTGTAATTTTCATCATAGGTACACGTCAACTATGACAGACAAAATGAGGGGATAAAATCCAGAAAATCACATTGTAGGATTTTTTATGAATTTATTTGCAAATTATGGTGGAAAATAAGTATTTGGTCAATAACAAAAGTTTCTCAATACTTTGTTATATACCCTTTGTTGGCAATGACACAGGTCAAACGTTTTCTGTAAGTCTTCACAAGGTTTTCACACACTGTTGCTGGTATTTTGGCCCATTCCTCCATGCAGATCTCCTCTAGAGCAGTGATGTTTTGGGGCTGTCGCTGGGCAACACAGACTTTCAACTCCCTCCAAAGATGTTCTATGGGGTTGAGATCTGGAGACTGGCTAGGCCACTCCAGGACCTTGAAATGCTTCTTACGAAGCCACTCCTTCGTTGCCCGGGCGGTGTGTTTGGGATCATTGTCATGCTGAAAGACCCAGCCACGTTTCATCTTCAATGCCCTTGCTGATGGAAGGAGGTTTTCACTCAAAATCTCACGATACATGGCCCCATTCATTCTTTCCTTTACACGGATCAGTCGTCCTGGTCCCTTTGCAGAAAAACAGCCCCAAAGCATGATGTTTCCACCCCCATGCTTCACAGTAGGTATGGTGTTCTTTGGATGCAACTCAGCATTCTTTGTCCTCCAAACACGACGAGTTGAGTTTTTACCAAAAAGTTATATTTTGGTTTCATCTGACCATATGACATTCTCCCAATCCTCTTCTGGATCATCCAAATGCACTCTAGCAAACTTCAGACGGGCCTGGACATGTACTGGCTTAAGCAGGGGGACACGTCTGGCACTGCAGGATTTGAGTCCCTGGCGGCGTAGTGTGTTACTGATGGTAGGCTTTGTTACTTTGGTCCCAGCTCTCTGCAGGTCAGTCACTAGGTCCCCCCGTGTGGTTCTGGGATTTTTGCTCACCGTTCTTGTGATCATTTTGACCCCATGGGGTGAGATCTTGCGTGGAGCCCCAGATCGAGGGAGATTATCAGTGGTCTTGTATGTCTTCCATTTCCTAATAATTGCTCCCACAGTTGATTTCTTCAAACCAAGCTGCTTACCTATTGCAGATTCAGTCTTCCCAGCCTGGTGCAGGTCTACAATTTTGTTTCTGGTGTCCTTTGACAGCTCTTTGGTCTTGGCCATAGTGGAGTTTGGAGTGTGACTGTTTGAGGTTGTGGACAGGTGTCTTTTATACTGATAACAAGTTCAAACAGGTGCCATTAATACAGGTAACGAGTGGAGGACAGAGGAGCCTCTTAAAGAAGAAGTTACAGGTCTGTGAGAGCCAGAAATCTTGCTTGTTTGTAGGTGACCAAATACTTATTTTCCACCATAATTTGCAAATAAATTCATTAAAAATCCTACAATGTGATTTTCTGGAAAGAAAATTCTCAATTTGTCTGTCATAGTTGACGTGTACCTATGATGAAAAATACAGGCCTCTCTCATCTTTTTAAGTGGGAGAACTTGCACAATTGGTGGCTGACTAAATACTTTCTTTCCCCACTGTATGGCATGCATTATGTATGTTGTAACATAATATCTTACCAGTACCACAAAATAATATTGAGCAGCCTGTGTCACATGTTTTGCTGAAGAGATTGTACCAAAGTAAAGGCATTACTATAACCCATAAGTGACGGGCAAATGTTCACATATTATACACAGAAGGAAATCAACAATAAGAAAGTAATGCTGGAAACGAACAATAAATGGGCCAACACCCAGAGCACGTCGACCAAGCTGTGCTCTCCTACCGACTAGTGTTTTCACAGAGCACCATCCATGTTTATTCACGTTGAACATGTGTGTGTCTGTATGCGTGTATGTGTGTGTGTGTGGAAGTGTTTGAGTGAGGGGAAAAGTGTGTGCATGTGCCCTGGCACATGCTGCAGACAAAGGGGAAGTCCTGTGTGTGTGTGTGTGTGTGTGTGTGTGTGTGTGTGTAGGTGTGTAGGTGTGTAGGTGTGAGTGTGTAGGTGTGTAGGTGTGTAGGTGTGAGTGAGTGAGTGAGTGAGTGAGTGAGTGAGTGAGTGAGTGAGTGAGTGAGTGAGAGAGTGAGACAAAGGAGAAAAGTGGGCACACTAACTTTACTCACCTGTGTTCTGTGCCAGATGACAGACGCCCTGGAGTGGCCCAGTTTGTTTCGACAGGGCCCTTTGTCATAGTGAATCAGGAGGAAGTCATCCTGTATCACACACACACATGCATACAAAGGGACACATGCACACACATGCACAGAAAGAGGGAGAGAGGGGGAAGAATGATCTATCATTAATACTGAGAGATAGGAGCAGCTGCTGGGAGAAAATTGCTTTTAAATTACCAGTGCGGTCTAGATCGCCTGTGGTCTGCAATTAGGATTTACTTAAGACACTGCCAGTAAAGCCTCCTAGCTTCCTACAAGCACAGATAAAACCCCTCAGTTTCAGTTCCATTGTCTTGTATCAAACATCATAAAAACGTGTTTGGATTTGGAAATACATCAGCCTACAGCCTTATCACACCTCCTGCAGTGCTGTTATTCCCTGATAACACATTGGATCACTGCTCACATTTCTAACACCAGACTTGAGAAATATGCACAGAGTGAATTCTATGCATATTTCAGACTGCTGTATTGAAGTCAGGTCCAACATACTGAAAAGGAAATTAAAACTCCTTTGCAAAGATAAACATGTATTATTCTATAAGAACATGTTGCAGCAGCAGTTATGAGTTTTAGGCAAACATTGGGACTACGTTCGACTCATATCCAGGGGCTCCAGAAAGTACCACCAGAAAGGGGTGCGTGTGCGTGTGACAAGGTTCTCTACTCACGTCCAGTGACTCCAGACAGTACCAGCAGAAGGCATGTTTGCAGTTCTTGCACATCATCTGGGCACAGCCCTCATCCCTCTCGATGTACACCTTACACTTGGGACAGCGCTTGATGGGACCATCGTCATCGTCACTCTTGTAGAAGGAGCTGAGGAGACACGGTGAGAGAGAGCAATGTTCAGTGTTTTACGGTTGAAAAAATGAGCAAAGACAGAGATCCAGAATGCCACCAGAGAATATCCACTCATACAGTTCATCATGCCACAGAGCTTGAACTGCCTTTGTGACTGTACAATATATCTAAGCTTGCTATAAACATCAACAGCATTTTCTCTTAACACTTGCAATGCAAACAAAATGAGAAATGTGAAGTGTGCTAGTCTCTGCCTTTCTTTCAGGCTTTTTTTTGTTCTTTTCATCTTAAAGGCAGGTCTTCTGTGTCCTTTTCTTGTTTTTTCCTGAGTGCTGCTGACACTTGAAGGCCAGAAAGGAGAGCAGGTGATGCTGTCGGCTGTCCTCTCAAGTCTCAAAGAGGCGGACAGAGAACAAGCCCATTCATTTTCTGAGCCAATTCTCCGGCTATTGATCGCATCTGGCCAGAGTGAATTATGGCACACCTCTCACGTCCTACTTCATTTGATACCCTGGCAGCCATTTTGTAACAAAACAGGACTTTCGGATTCTAGCTTTTACTCTGGAAGGAAAGGGATAGAGGCCTGAATGTAATGGAATACAGACTAAAGATCAGAAGGTAAAATACCTTCTCCTGAATGCTGGCTGTTACGTTAGAGGAATGGCAAGGGAGAGAACAAACAAAAAATCTTATCAGCAAAATGGCAGCAAGATCCGTGCAAAATGGGAATGGTCCACGGAGTAATACATTTGCCCTTTGCGGTAATTGCTGCATATGTCAGCTGGGTGCAGATCGGGCTAATAGTGTACGTGGAGTCCATTCGAATTAAGAGACTCTAATTTCACTTCCACACTCTTGAAGGGGAGTTAGAAGGACGTACTCCAGAGCTCGTTGTTTAGATAAGTGCAGTATATACAGTAATCGTAGTAAGAAACATCCAAGCCATACTTGGAGTCCTGACGTTGGGAGAGAGAGAGAGAGAGAGAGGAGGCTGCAGAATTTAAAGGAGAAGTTCAGGATTTTACAATGATGTTAGATGGTTCCTCACCTTAAAAGTACTCTATGGGCCAGGAAAAACTGTAATCCATGGCTCAAGATAGATGAAGTTTGTTGTGGCTGTTTAGAGAAAACCGAACTATGGATTACAGTTTCTTCTGGCCCACAGACTACTTTCAAGGTGAGGAACCATCTAACATTAAGTTGTAAAATCCTGAACTTTCCCTTTAAACCACTGGGGCCTTTCGTGACATCTGATGACAACTCCACAACCCTCTCTCTCGCTTTACATATAGATACACAACATATACAAAAGTATGTGGACACCCCTTCAAATTAGTGGATTCGGGTATTTCCGCCACACCCGTTGCTGGCAGGTGTATAAAATCGAGCACACAGCCAGGCAATCTCCATAGACAAACATAGGTAGTAGAATGGCCTTACTGAAGAGCTCAGTGACTTTTAACGTGGCACCGTCATAGGATGCCACCTTTCCAACAAGTCAGTTCGTCAAATTTCTGCCCTGTTAGAGCTGCCCCGGTCAACTGGAAGTGCTGGAAGTGGTAGACCATACAAGCTCACAGAACGGGACTGCAGAGTACTGAAGTGTGTAGCGCGTAAAAACAGTCTGTCCTAGGTTGCAACACTCACTACTGTTCCAAACTGCCTCTGGAAGCAACGTCAGCACAAGAACTGTTCGTCGGGAGCTTCATGAAATGGGTTTCCATGGCCGAGCAGCCGCACACAAGCCTAAGATCACCATGAGCATTGCCAAGCATCAGCTGGAGTGGTGTAACGCTCGCCGCCATTGGACTCTGGAGCATGGGGAAACACGTTCTCTGGAGTTATAATCACGCTTCACCATCTGGCAGTCTGACGGACGAATCTGGGTTTGGCTCGTGGCTGAATGGAAGCAAGTCCCTGCAGCAATGTTCCAACATCTAGTGGAAAGCCTTCCCAGAAGAGTGGAGGCTGTTATAGCAGTAAAGGGGGGAACAACTCCATATTAATGCCCATGATTTTGGAATGAGATGTTCGACAAGCAGGTGTCTACATACTTTTGGTCATGTAGTGTAGCTTTACCACTGGGCCACCACATTCTATAGTTTAAGTAGATGAATAGTCCAAATGCAGGTTGGCAACAGTTACGGCCATTACTTCTATTGGCTCCTTATATTGACATATTATGACTTCCTCTGTGACCTTGGTCAACCCCGGCTAGCCTTATCTGACCCAGTGGGTCCCAGCTCTATCACCAGCCAATACACTCAGTCATATTAAATATGCACTAGAAGGTATTAGATGACTAGTGACTAGATGGTTATGCATGAGAGCAGCTGGCTTCATGGAGATATCAACACAGCGGTAGCTAGGCTGGTATCCAGGGTGGTAAATACAGGTTCCCACGGGGACCAGAGGCTGTGTCCTCACAGTGTCCTCAGTAGAGGGGTGAGAGCAGATGAGGGCAGATCATCAACAACACTAAGAGAAAACAACTACGAGCTGTTTGTGTGTGTGTGTGTGTGTGTGTGTTGTGTGTGGGTGCTCGTGCATGTGTGTGTGAGTGTACGTGTGTGTATGGATAATGGCACCAGGGTTTCCAGGATAAGGACATTATTCCTGTCAAACGTATGAGTTTATAGTCTCAACAATGCAATGTTTACAGTGTGACTTATTGCGGAAAGCCAGTTACCCTCATTGATTGAATAAGACTGTATGCTTTTTGGGATGAAATGTCATTCAATGGTCACAGAGTCTAACCTCTTTCAACTTGCTTGAGGAGGTGATGGGGAGGAGAGAGTGATTGAGACAGTGAAGACAGAGGAGGAAGAAGATGAGGAAAAACTCCAGCTCTATTTATACCTGGTCTCTACGGATATCAAGGAAGTGATGGGGAGGAGAGGAAGTGATTGATATGATGAAGGAAGAGGAGACAGTCCAGTTCCATACCTGGTCTCTCCGGGTAGGAAAGCGGTGATGGGCAGGTTGTTCTCCTGGGGTGAGCAGACCTGCCCGGGGTGCCAGTTAGCCTTGCAGGCCGAGCAGAACTCCAGGGTGCACACGGCACACTGCACCAGCTGGGGCAGCGCCACCTCCATCTCCTTCAGTTGGCACACTGCCTGGCACGACGACGACGGGCACCACGTCCGGCACGGGTCCAGAAGCACCTCTGTGGTGGCACAAAACCAGGTGTTACCACCAACAGTACTGTAGAAGTGGCATGGTGACTGCTTCCAAAGCATGGTGACAGGTCATGAGGTGACATGAGGTCACGAGGTCATTGTAGTACCTATGCCTGTGTTAACACACACATTTACTCATTTGCAATGGCCTTTTGCACAGATTACAGATGGATATTGAAGATATGATTATTGTACATGGATTGTTGATTTGATGTTTTTGCTATGTCGTTTTTACTACTTTACTGTTGATTGTTGTCTTTTTTCATATCTATTAATAAAATATTTCTTATCTTATCTTTTTCTTTCATGCTTTTGACCTATGCACAATTACACATACCATCGCACACTCTCACAAGCGCAATTGTGACTGACGTGAACACACACAAACTCACAATCATGTGTCATTTGACATATGCACACATATGGTGTTCTCTAACACAGCAGCTAAATAAACGTATATTTTTCTCCAATCATCCTATTAAAATGTGCTTCTCCCAAATAAAGAAAGCTGGCAAACGCTCAATGTTTGGTCTGTCGCTACAAAACAAGTCCAACCATCCTTTCCAAATGACTAACACACACTGCTTGCCATCACATGGCTCTGTTCTATTGACTCTCGCATGTTTCTCAGTCTGTTGCTCTTGAACCAAAATGGCAGCCCCCTTGCCCTCCTGTCCTGCTGTCTGTGCTGCTCTGGCTCTGTGACTCTCCATCCCTGTGTGTCCAATGTGTGTCCAATGTGTGTGTGTGTGTGTGTGTGTGTGTGTGCCTTTGCGTGTGCGTTTGGGTGGGTGGAGTACCTTCAAGGCACATGCCATATAGAGTGGGTGTGCAAGTCTGGCTGAGGTTAGCGGGGGAACTGGGAACCCCATATCACAGATTAGCACATATCATATCACAATATCTTTCAATTTTTTTATGGTATTTGTGGTTTGTTAATAATAAAAGCTCTAAATATGCTTTATGAGTAGTGCATGACCCTAGGGTGGCAACACATACATTGTGTTTTTAAATGGGCCTTTGTCTATTCTGATTGCTTTATACTGTTCAATGAAACTTCAACCAAAAGTTGGAATATAGTGGGCACTGAATAGTGTTGTTTGACATGACGACTAATGAAAAAGCTAGGGAGGGCTATTGGGACAGGGAAGGAACTAAAGTGTTGGTCAGTGTTTCCCAGTGGACCCTAATTAATGTTATATAAAAAATGGTCTCTTACTGTTGCTTTGATGTAGCTAAAATGTCCATGCTTCGCCTATTCCTCTCTTATTTAGAATATACCGTTGCACAAACAACATGCTGATCTAGGCCTACACCAGCACTGGTACCAGGCAGTATTAGCTAGCTAGCTACTTTTGCTCTGACTAAGTACATGGTCAAGTAAAAACCCAAACCGGTTTGTGCATCAATACCGGTATATAGTAAAATATGGTATACTGCCCAGCCCTACGCCATTCACAGCAGAAAGGCACCCCATTACACTCCCCTCAGTGAGACTTTTACGACATCGCTCACATTCGAATGGTATAAAAACATATACAGACAGACAACCACAGATGATGAATTCATAACTGAACACTGGGACCAAAGATGAAAGGCTTTGAGAGAGGATATTCAGACATTAGACATACAAATATATACTCCCCAGCCAGACACATTGTAGGTTATGATTAACATCACTTTTAATGTACCTGAAAAGGTTTTCCCCTCATGCATCTTTGATGGTGGCCGTGTTAAACTTTGATTAGGATTGATACAGGATTTAGGCTAAATCAGAACACGATAAGGTAGAGGGCTGTCATTGTCCTCCAAGTCAATTTGATATTGGACCCCAGGAAGAGTAGCTTCCGCCTTGGCAGCAGCTAATTGGGATCCCTAATAAATACTAAATGGTGCGGGGAGACAAGGGAGCCAGGTCGGGCTCAATTACCTATATGACACACACACACACACACACACACACACACACACACACACACACACACACACACACACACACACACACACACACACGTCTATGACCAGTGAGGCTGTCAGTGCGGTTACTCTCCCACTTACCCCTCTCAAACTGCAGCTTCTTGTATCTCTGCATAATCTCTGTAGCCACTATGCACTCAATCTGCAGGCGAAAGAAAGGAGAAAGAGTTAGGAACATAATGTGCTAGTGATAGCTTACCAAACGAATACAGGACATGATGCTTTCAGCCACACTACAGTCTGAAGATGATCAATCCCAAAACCTCACTCAATTTCAGCATAATTCGGACTAGCCCACCTGTTTTATACACATGTTCCGTGAGAGGAATATATGCATACTGGCTATGTATACTGAAGGTTAAATGTAGTCATTATGCAACGATGAAAATAACATTTGGGGGTGGGGGGGTTTGAGTGTGAGAAAAGTCAATTATGAGTCAAAGACGTAGCTGTCACAGTGACTGGATGAGAAATGCCTCGTCTCTGACTTGTGTGACAAGCCGGGTCCCATTAAAGGCCAGTGACTTTGATTGATTGGAAACATACAGCCGTGCCGCCGGCCTGCGAGACAGAGAGAGAGTGAGTCTATCAAGCAAACTGCCTTGAGAGGTGAGGCGCAGTGCCCTCGGATTGACCTCAATCGGGGAAGGATGCAGACGAGCAGGTCCCATCCACTCTGTATAAACACGCTGACACGTCTAGAAGAGGGGCCAGTGCTGAGACGGCGCTAGGCCAGACTGGTGTGTGGGGAAGGAGAGGAAGGTGGAGAGCGATCATCACAGAGAGGGCTAATGTCTGCTCGGCAAGGGACCCCAATTAAAAATACTGTCCTTCTGCAGCCTCAGAGGTCTCTGGAATGGATGTGGAGGTCCTTGATGACATTTTAAGAGATTTCTTTAATCTAAATAAATCACATACCTTACCGATATGTTCATAGTAATTGAACATGTTCAAAAGGTCTAAATATCAATAAAAGTAAATAAGCACAGTTCCAGTCAAAAGTTTGGGTTTTTATTTATTTGTACTATTTTCTACATTGTAGAATAATAGTGAAGACATCACAACTATGAAATAACACATATGGAATCATGTAGTAACCAAAAAAGATTTTAGATTCTTCAAAGTAGCCACCCTTTGCCTTGAAGACAGCTTTGCACACTCTAGGCATTCTCTCAACCAGCTTCATGAGGAATAGTTTTCCAACAGTCTTGAAGGAGTTCCCACATATGCTGAGCACTTGTTGGCTGCTTTTCCTACACTCTGAGGTCCAACGCATCCTAAACCATCTCAATTGGGTTGAGGTCAGGTGATTGTGGAGGCCAGGTCATCTGATGCAGCACTCCATCACTCTGCTTCTTGATCAAATAGCCCTTACACAGCCTGGAGGTGTGTTTTGGGTCATTGTCCTGTTAAAAAACAAATGATAGTCCCACTAAGCGCAAACCAGATGGGATGGCGTATTGCTGCAGAATGCTGTGGTAGCCATGCCGGTTAAGTGTGCCTAGAATTCTAAATAAATCACTGACAGTGTCACAAGCAAAGCACCCTCACACCATCACACCTCCTCCTCCTCCATACGGGAATGGTGGGAACCACACACGCGGAAATCATCCGTATCTCCTACTCTGCATCTCACAAAGACACGGCGGTTGGAACCAAAAATCTCAAATTCGGACTCATCAGACCAAAGGACAGATTTCCACCGGTCTAATGTCCATTGCTCGTGTTTCTTGGCCCAAGCAGGTCTCTTCTTCTTATTGGTGTCCTTTAGTAGTAGTTTCTTTGCAGCAAAAAGGCCACGAAGGCCTGATTCACGCAGTCTCCTCTGAACAGTTGATGTTGAGATGTGTCTGTTACAAGAACCCTGTAAAGCATTTATTTGGGATACAATCTGAGGTGCAGTTAACTCTAATGAACTTATCCTCTGCAGCAGAAGTAACTAAGTTTAAAGGTAAAGAGACTAACTATTTCTGTAATGTGGGTGAACTATCCCTTTAAAGTGGAACATTCCACTTCCCCCGCATGTGTAAATAACTACCTTACTTACTGTACTAACTGTGTATATATGGAAGAAAGAAAACACTTATATATTTTGTAATTTTCTATTTACCTACAGTGCATTCGGAAAGTATTCAGACCTCTTGACTTTTTCCACATTTTGTCACGTTACAGTCTTACTCTAAAATTGATTAAATGTATTTTTTTCCTCATCAATCTACACACAATACCCCATAATGACAGTAAAAATAGGTTTTTAGACATTTTTAAAACAGAAATACCTTATTTACTATGAGACTCGAAATTGAGCTCAGGTGCATCCTACTTCCATTGACCATCCTTGAGATGTTTCTACAACTTGATTGGAGTCCACCTGTGGTAAATCCAATTGATTGGACATGACTTGGAAAGGCACACACCTGTCTATATAAGGTCCCACAATTGACAGTGTATGTCAGAGCAAAGACCAAACCATGAGGTCGAAGGAATTGTCCGTAGAGCTCCGAGACAGGATTGTGTCGAGGCATAGATCTGGGGAAGGGTACCAACATATTTTTGCAGCATTGAAGGTCCCCAAGAACACAATGACCTCAATCAATAATTCTTAAATGGAAGAAGTTTGGAACCACCAAGACTCTTCCTAGAGCTGGCCGCCCGGCCAAACTGAGCAATCGGGGGAGAAGGGCCTTGGTCAGGGAGGTGATCAAGAACCCGATGGTCACGCTGACAGAGGTCCAGAGTTCCTCTGTGGAGATGGGAGGACCTTCCAGAAGGACAACCATCTCTGCAGCACTCCACTAATCAGGCCTTTATGGTAGAGTGGCCAGACAGAAGCCACTCCTCAGTAAAAGGCACATGACAACCCGCTTGAAGTTTGCCAAAAGGCACCTAAAGGACTCTCAAACCATGAGAAACAAGATTCTCTGGTCTGATGAAACCAAGATTGAACTCTTTGGCCTGAAAGCCAAGCGTCACGTCTGGAGGAAACCTGGCTCTATCCCTATAGTGAAGCATGGTGGTGGCAGCATCATGCTGTGGGGATGTTTTTCAGCGGCAGGGACTGGGAGACTAGTCAGGATCGAGGG